TGACGACTACATATTCTGAAAGGAATTACTTGAAAAAATATTTTTCTTTAAGATTTTTTTCTGAATGATTTGCTTATTCTTATCTCTTTCTGATTAATCATATATGTGTTTCTGATGATGATGATAAAAGATTGTGACGAAATCATCCAATATAGAATAAAGATCGCAACGAATATAAATTAATTCAGACGACATTTTCATACGATAACAAGGATTTATTTTGATACCACTAAAATAACAAAAGATGAGGTATTTTCATTTACAATATTGCTGCTTTTTAATAAGAATAAATAAGCATTTTTTTAGAAGTTTCAATATTATAAAACTAATATTTCTCTACATAATCATATCTGGAAAAACTCAACATATGGAGCAAAATATTATCAATCTTTCAGACAAATTTCCCCAATAGCAGATGAAATTATAGTAAAACTCATCAATCATAAAATAATGATCACATTTTTTGTCTTAGATTCACTCGTCTGACTTAGTTTCCCAAGGACAAATTATATTCGATTTTGAAAAATATCTACATCCGATATTATGCTTACATTACAATCTGCATTTTAAATATTAATTAACGAAAAAAAGAGTCACCTAAATGTGTTCAGTTAAAATTAAAAACATAAGAGTTATGCCTATGAAATATCATTTTATATCGCTCAAATAATCATAACAAAAACATTAACTATAGTTTCTATCATTAAAAGTGACATCATTACTTGGTATCTTTTTCTCCCAACAAGTAATTGCAACATCATGTGAAATATATGATGCATGACGAATATGTATTCATTTTATGTGAAAGAAAAAACGACACATTATACACTCAACATATACAGCGACGCAGCACGCATCTGATCAAGAGTCTGTAATGGCAAACCAATCTGTCGTCAACTTACTCACATTACCGGTAGAGCTTGTCTACCGAATTCTGGATCTCCAATCCGATCTCACCCTGATATGCTCAATGACAAATGTGTGCCAAAGACTAAACAGGATCTTAGACAGCTACGATCGATATCATGTAAGCTTTTTTCTATTATGATAGTTTAGTTTTTATCTATGGACTCTAATACTACACACATGAGTAAACTATTTCTCACTGAAAACAATTCACTACCTATCCCTTTCTTCAAAATCCATTTCTTTTTTTTGTTATTATGACAGTATGAAAATAGTGTCCTGGTAATCAGAAAAAAGTCTCTTTTTTCTATTTCAGCTTAGTATTTCACGTTTTAAACTAAGCACGATATCATAAATAAATGATATTTTGACAAGAACGAAAACACGAATAAAACATTCCTATTTGTTTTTTATGTATATCAATGCACATTTTCTTATGCATGCAGTTTCACAGATTGAAAACAGCTGTTAAAAGAAATTAGCGGTCGATGCAGATGGAGACAAGATTGACTCATAACACCATTCTCATTCAATCACATTCCTAATTCTCATCCCTTGAATGTGAAAAGTTCTTCATCGACATTTTTTGATTCCACGTTTTTACATGTATTCATCTTCTATTCATAATGAGTCTGACATTAGAGAGTATATTGTTTAACATTCCACTTCTTATAAAGCAATGTGGCTTCATGCACACAATCGTATAGTGCCACTGAAAGCAGCTACCGAAATCGAGGAATATTCTAACCCATACAGTTTCCTTTTTTCACTAGTATTTAAAAACTATGGCGACCTACTGATAAAACATTTCTATGAATACTTCACTACTGAAAACGTCTTTTCCGTCTATATTTTTACAACACCCTATCGAACAGTATATACGATTCAAAATCCTTCAATTAATCATATTCCGATTCTAAGATTCAAGAAAGTCGTCAGAAAAATATTCATTTCACTGATAAAACTCCAACTTATACTGATCGACTATATTTCTTTACCTACTTCCACCTTTACTTTCCCTTCACTTTTTCATCTAGAGACTCATCATACTAGATCTCACCGATCATAAAATCGGAGATGCTGGAGCACAAGCTTTGCGTGAAGCACTACAACACAATACGGTAACTCTCGTTCTCTCTTTATTTATACCATGTATTCACCTTCATTTGTTCATTTAGACAATCACCACACTACATATCGGCTTGAATGAAATCGGAGATGTTGGAGCACAATTTTTGGGTGAAGCATTACACCATAATACAGTTACTCTCATTCTTTGTT